CTGTGCCTGCCTCTGCTGTCTTTTCTTTTCCAGGTCTGAGGAGTCTGCCCCAAGCAGCTTATGTTTTCAGATATGGGGTCCAGGGGTCCTGCAGCAAATGGGTGGGGTCCCAGGAAGCACTGAGAGAAACCCTCAGCTCACGTGGACAGAATTGCTGTCTCTATCTGGCCCCCTAAAATGTGGAGGCTAAGTCATAGTGACAATCTGAGATCAAGTCTATGACTCAGAATGTTCTGTTCTACTTTATCAATTTTTTTCTAAGTTTTAAATTATACAGGGGCTAGGATATAACTAAACAGTAGAATACTTGCCTAGCATATGTAAGGCCCAGGGTTCAATCCCAAGTATTATAAAACAAACAGAAAAAAGTTTGATGTACATTGATAATTGATAATCTTATCACTTACCATTACCATGATTAATAAATATCCTGACATGGAAATTTTCATCTTTTAAGGGAAAGTGACAATATTTTTTTCTTGGAAATAATATAAGAAAGGGGCTGGAGAGATGGCTCAGCGGTTAAGAGCACTGACTGCTCTTGTAAAGGACCTGGTTTTGATTCAAAGCACCCATGTGGTAGCTAACAACCATCTGTAACTCCAGTTCCAGGGGATCTGATACCCTCTTCTGACCTCTGTGGGCATTGCATGACATGAATGCAATGCAGGCAAAGCACTCATACACATATAATAAAAATAATAAATAAGCCAGGGGTGGTGACACATGCCTTTAATCCCAGCACTTGGGAGGCAGAGGCGGGTAGATCTCTGTGAGTTCAAGGCCAGTCTGGTCTACATAGTGAGTTCCAGGCCAGCTGGGGCTACAAGGAGACAGTTTTTTGTTTGTTTTTTTTTGTCTCAAAAACCACCCAAAATTAATTAAGATTAATTAATTAAGATTTTTTAAAAAGAAGTAATGTAAAATGATTCTGCTCAGCCTGGGCTAGTGATACATACCTGCAGTCCCAGCATTTGAAAAGCTGAGTCAGAAGTCTACACAAGGAGATTTTGTTTAAAAACAAGCAAACAGGGGCTGGAGATGAGTCGGTGGTTAAGAACACTTGCTGTTCTTCCAGAGGACTCAGGCTTGATTCCCAGCACCCACATGGTGGCTAAAAACTGCCTGTAACTCCAGTTCCAGGGACTCTGTCACCCTCTTCTGGCCTCTGTTGACATTACATGCACATGGTGCACTTATATACATGCAAGCAAAACACTCATACACGTAAAATAAAAATAATAGGGGCTGCAGAGATGGCTCAGTGGTTAAGAACACTGGTTGTTCTTGTAGAAGACTTGGGTTTGAATCCCAGCATCCACATGGCAGCTAACAACTATCTGTAATTCCAGTTCTAGGGGATCTGATGGCCTCTTCTGTCTTCGTGGGCATTGCATGACACGGTTGCACTTTACCTATATGCAGGCGTAACACTCGTACATATAAAATTAAAAAAAATAACTAAAATATTAAAGTAAACAAGCAAAAGATTCTGCTTAATGTAAGTAATTCAAGCTACAAAGATTAAAAAAAATTAGGGACTGGAGAGATGGCTCTGTGGTTAAGAACACTGACTACTCTTGCAAAGGACCTGGGTTTGATTCCCAGTACCCACATGGTGACTAACAACTGTCTAATAACTCCAGTTCCAGGGGATCTGATACCCACTGCCGACCTCTGCACAACACAGATGCACTTAAATGTATTCAGGCAATACATTAATACATATAAAATAAAAATTATATTTTTTAAAAGATAAAAAATTAAATATATCCAAAATTCTATTATTCAGATGTTCCTGTTGTTGAGTATTATTAAGTATCTTTATAAGGTCATTAGGTCATAGGCATATACAGAGATGGATATTTTATTTATTATTTTTAATTTTTAACATTTATGTGTATGTATGTATGTACACCTGAGTCTATGTGTGCATTGCATGCTTTCAAGTGCTGGTGGAAGCCAGAAGAAGGTATCCAGTTCCCTGGAGCTTGAGTACCAGATGGTTGTGAGCTGCAGTGTGAGTGTTGGAAACTAACTAAACCTGGGTTGTCCACAAGAGCGTCAAGTGTTCTTAACTACTGAGCCATCTTTCCAGCACCTATTTTTAATTTTTTTTTTTGTCTTTTCAAGACAGGGTCTCCCTGTAGCCCCAGCTGGCCTGGAACTCACAGAGATCCGCCAGCCTCTGTCTCCCAAGTGCTGAGACTAGGCATGCGTCACCACACCTGGCTTTATTTTTAATTTTTAATGATGTGCGTGGGGGGTGGTGGTGTGTGCAGCTACCCACAGAGACCAGAAAAGGATGTTGAACTCCATGGAGCTGGAATTTCAGGTGGTTGTGAGCCACCTGATGTGGGTTCTGGGACCCAAACCCAGGTCCTCTGTAAGAGCAGTCTGCACTCTTGAGCCATCTCTCCAGCTCTGAGATTAATATTTAGACATGCTTCTATAGAATGGTCACACTCTTGTGCAGTGTGGCAGCCACTAGCCATGGTAGCTACTGACCACTTGGAATGTGGCAGACTTGAGTTGGGATATGCTGTCCATGTGAAGTGCACACTGGCATTAGGAAACTGTGAAAACAGATTTTCCCAAGAAGGGCCTTATTTCTGGGGTGCTGCTTTTTGCTTCCCTGCACGCCCGGTTTTTGGCTGCTTACATTTGCGTGGACTCCCCTGTGTTCCTGGGCCTCTGTAGACATCCCTTCTTTCTCCTGTCATGGACCACCCAATTTTCTCTCTGTCTTAGAAGGAATTTGCTTTTCTTTTCAAATATCTAAGGAATTCTTATGCTCATGAACCCAGAACAGCACTGTTCTGGTGTGGGATGGCTCCTCCCTGAACTCTACACTCATCCCTAAGGAATTATCGTAGTGTCCCAGGACACAGACACTGGTGTAAAGATAGGAGAACACTTGGCCTCTGGTGGGCTGACCACCCAGATCTCAATGGTCTCCTGTGGTTACTGTTTTGAGTTAATTGTAAATTGTATGTGTTATAGGCCAAGCTATTCTCCATTCAATGATCAGAATATTGAGTAAAAATAAAGCGGCCCAAGTTGAGGTGTCCTATACCCCCCCAGTAACTGGGACCCTTTTAAACCTTTAAAAACTGATTTTTCAGGCCTGGCGTGGTGGCATAGGCTTTTAATCCCAGCATTTGGGAGCAGAGACAGAGACAGGCAGATCTCCGAGTTCAAGGCCAGCCTGGTCTACATAGTGAGTTCTAGGTCAGCTAGGGCTACAGGGAGACCATATCTCAAAAAGACAAAAAAAAAAAAAGAAGAAAAAAGAAAGAAAAGACAAGCAAAAAGAAAAACACCACTGATTTTTCTGGGCATGGTGGCACACTTGGGAGACAGAGGCAGGTGGATCTCTGTGAGATCGGGGCCAGCCTGGTCTACATAATGAATTCCAGGTCAGCTGGGACTACAGGAAGACCTGTCTCAAAAAACAAGCAGATTTTTATATTTGTATTATGCCTGTGTCTGACCATCATAGAGAAATGTACCCCAGTCAGGTGCTGTATGAGTTGTTTTGGGTTCACTCAGAACAGGCTGGATGTGTGGGCTCTGAAGAGCTGCACCTGGCCCCATCTTTTTATGCAAATTAACCATCAGTGTAGACATCAACAAGATTATGACTACTTGACATAATTATGTCTGTACTTTTTAAAAAATTATTTTTATTTTATGTGTATGAATGTTATGCTTGCATGTATGTAAGTATACCCAGAGGTCCGAAGAGGGTGTCAGATCCCCTGGAACTGGAGTTATGGACAGTTGTTAGCCTCCATGTGGGTGCTGGGATTTGAACCCAGGTCTTCTGCAAGAACAGCTAGTGCTCTTAACCTCTGAGCCATCTCTCCAGCCCTCATAATGTATGTACTCTTAGGAGCAAAACCTCCCCACAAATATTCGTCAAAGTCAGGATTGCATAATTTTGACTTTTTTTTTGTCTTTTTGAAGCAGGGTCTCCCTGTAGCCCTAGCTGTCCTGGAACTCACTATGTAGACCAGGCTGGCCTTGAACTCAAAGAGATCCACCTGCCTCTGCCTCCTGAGTGCTGGGATTAAAGGCGTGTGCCACCACACCCGGCAATTTTGACTGTTTAAAAAAAATTTTTATTTATTTTTATTTTATGTGTATGCGTGTATTGCCTGCATGTGGGTAAGTGTACCTGTGTTGTGCAGTGTCCATGGAGGACAGAAGAGACTGTTGGATCCCCTGGAACTGGAGTTAAAGACAGTTGTTAGCTGCCATGTGGGTGCTGGGATTCAAGCCCAGGTCTTCTGCAAGAACAGTCAGTGTTCTTAACTGCTGAGCCATCTCTCCAGCCCAGTTTGGACTTTTAAAAACATTTTATATATTTTTATTTTATGTGTATGAGTATATTGCCTGTATGTATGTGTACCTGTGTCATGCAGTGTCTGTGGAGGTCAGAAGAGAGTGTCAAATCTCCTAGAACTGAAGCTATGGATGGTTGTTACCCACTGTGTGGGTCCTGGGAACCAAACCTAGCTCCTCTGCAAGAGCAGTCAGTGCTGTTAACCTGCCAAGCCATCTCTCTAGCTACTAACTTTGACTTTTAGAGATTCAGATTCAGGTCATCTTGATACAAACTGCTCTCTGAATTTGACCATGAACATGTTCCACAGGCTCATGACCAAGGCCATACACCATGGAAGAACAAGGAATCTCACATCGGAAACGTGTCATTCTGAATTTTTCCCTACTGAATTTAAATCACATGTTAATATCTAGCCATCTTTCTGGAATCAGTAAATATATGGCAAAGAAATGACTAAGTTCTTTAGCCAGCACTACTGGGACCTTCCTTGCTAACAAGCAGACACTCACACAGCCCCAATCTTAGGTTACAAGGTTCCTGAAGAGCCTTGCTAGGAGTGAGGCACCTTGGGGGTCCTGAATCCTTGGGACTTTCCAGCCCACAGTCCACTTCTTGCTCCCCCTTATCATCATCACATTTTGTTTTGCAGATGACATGGCTGAACTTCTCCTTGGGGAGTCGAAGCTGGAGCAGCACTTGAAGGAGAAGCCCCTGCGGCAGGGAGCCAGTCCCCGGGGCCCTAGGCCCCAGCTGACCGAAGTGCGCAAACATCTGACTGCTGCTCTGGACCGAGGGAATCTCAAGGTATGGTGGGCCTCTGAGACCAAGAGGGGATGTTAGGAGATACTGGCATCATCTCCCGGGGATAGTATGTGGTTGGGAAAGATGCCTGCTGAGCTGGGCTGTATTTGGAGCATATGGGTACAGCGCTGGGGTTGCCTTCTTCAGCAGGCCCACTCCTTGCATGACCAATGCATCCACACTAGCCTGGTTGACCACCCATGGGGCTTCAAGCTCAATAGGGATCTCTGATGAAAGTCTGTAATGTCACATCCTTCTGTACATTCTCATTCATTCTCTCGAGGTACTTGAAATAAAGTGTAGTTTATGGCCCAGAGCTCAACACTAAGGCATAGCTTCCTGTCTAAAGTATGTAATTATGAATGTTATAGGCCCCTGTGGCCCAGACCTGGTGTCAACAGGCCTGGCGTTGCCTCAGTGTGGGAGGGAAGCAGGAGCCTCCCTCAGCCTGGGCAACCCTTTCCTTACCTACTGGCCCATCTCAGACACTACCACTCTATCCACTCTGCTTTTTGGCTTCCATTCCTGCTCAGTTCCATTCTCATGTGCTTCCCCTTACATGCTTCTTGTGAGCCCTGGTTATTCCCTTTGCAATTACAAGGGCTGGTTCTGTTTGTTCACCCTGCCCCTCCTCTCCATCCCATCAGCTCTTACTTCCTGCTTCAGACACTTGCCATCCCTGAAGTCCACCCCCTGCTGCTTTCTGAAGTCACTCTCAGTATTAGTTTCTTTTTCTGTTGGTATGATATGACAAAACAGCTCAAGGGAGAAAGGGCTCAGTCCATCAAGTGGAGAAGCCAAGGCTACAGGAGCTCAAAGCAGCTGGTCATGTTCACCGTCAGGAAGCTGACAGCAGTGAATGCCAGCACTCAGCCAGCTTTCTCCTTTTTATACAGAGCAGGACCCAGGTCCAGGGAATGGTGCTGCCTACTTTTAGGTGTGGGCTTTCCCACCTCAATTCAGTTAATCCCTCACAGCCATGCCCAGAGGCTAGCTAATCCCTCACAGGTGCTCCTGAAGGCTTGTCTCCTAGATAATGTCAAGTAGATAACACTAATCATCACATTCTCTGAGGTAGCTGATAGCACCTCAGCCCATACCTGCTCATCTTCAGGCCCTGTCTTCCCAGGATGCTTTTTCCGCTGATGACAACAGTTTTGAGGGAACTTTGGAAGCTCTGATTTCTTTTATCTGATGAACTGCCCTCATCTCTCTTCCTGTCTCAGAGTCCTTCTGGGCTGCTTCTCAGTCTCAACTCTTGTCTGTTGCACAAGCTCCTACCCCCAGCCCAAATGAAACCATATTTTCTTGGCTTTATCTTTTGCATCTGTACTGCAAACTTGTGCCTCTTATCGACTTGCTGCGTGACCTTGGGAGGTTCCTTCTTTTTCACCTCAGTTTCTATAGGTTTAGGGTGGGCTGCTTGAGATGGTCTCCTTGAACCCTTCTAGCTTTTGCATGCTCTAAGCAGAGAGCCTGCTTTCTGAGCTGTTCTTCCTCTTTGTCCTCTTTGTCATCTAGACACCTCCTCAGCTCTTTTGCAGTCAAGGTCTTGGGTAATGCTGGCACAAGTAGCTTCTATACCAGTAGTCAGCAGCAGGCTTTTAGAGGCCTCTCGGAATGAACAATCTCTGTATGTCTGCTGCATGGACATAACTGTAGAGGCTGGCTTGTGGGCTTCACTGTCACATAGGAAGCTCAGGTGATCCAGGACTGGCTGCTGCATTGGAGCCATAAAAGCTGGTCTTTACTCACCATCCTATGGGCCAGGCTGTGCCTCAGCTCAGTTAGAATACAGTTGTCTACATGTTATCTTTTCTTAATCAAGGGACTGCTTGCAATACTGGTGGGGTCAGCAGGAGCAGGTGGAGAACAATGGACCCCGAGGGCCGTAGCTCATGATGACAGCTAGTCAGACCCAGTGTCTCCCTGGAGGTATGAAGCTATCACTGTGTTAAGGAGAGACATCTAGCTATTTTTCCTAACTGCTGACCTTGCAAAATTAGCCACTTGTCTTACCAGTCACTGCTCTCCATCCTCTACAACCTTAGGTGGGGAGAAGAACGCTGAATTTAATGTTAAAATCGTAGAGTTTGAGCCTCAGTTGTGAGTTTATAAGCTCTGTGGTCTTGGGAAGTTACTTTCTGAACTTCATATTTCTCAGCTGTGGGCCTCCCATCTCAGGATTGCTCTGTGGCTTAATTGTGGAAGTTCTTTAAAACTGTACCTTACTAAAGCTGGGTGTGGTGGCACACCCCTTTGATCCCAGCACTCAGGAGGCAGAGCTAGGCAGATCTCTGGGAGTTCAAGGTCAGCCTGTTTTTCATAGTGGGTTCCAGGCCAGCTGAGGCTACAGGAAGACCCTGTCTCAAGAAAACCAAAACAACAACAAAAAATGTACCGCCACTTGGGATGTGGGTATATAGATGAATAAGATTGTTTGGGATGTTCTGTATGAAATACACACACACACACACACACACACATACACACACACACACACAAATCAATCAATAAAAATATGAGTTATGTTTGAGGAAGAAGCATAAAAATTTGCTTCATGTTAATTAGTAGAGGTGAAACACATTACCACTGAAATCTACCTGATGATTTTAGATCCATGCTCATGTGCCAAGGATCTCAGAAAGTAACCGACTGCGAATAGTAACAATCAGATACACTGAGATTAGAGGTGCATGTACAAACATCTAAATATTAGTAGCATTAAAAATGAATTTTTCTGTATGAAACAGTATACTTTAAAAAGAAATGGAGATCTTTTTTAAAGGTTCAAACCTCATTCAATTTTTTGTCTTATAGAGTTTTTTAATTTTATGTGTTATAGGGTTTGTACTGAATACAATATTGTATAACTATTAATTCAACTGTAAACCTAAAAATTTACAGCCAGTTTTGAAAGAGATGCATCTTACTTCTGGAAATTGTTATTGAATATGTCAATGCTATTGTAATGAAATGCTCCTTCTAAGTATGTGGTTATTAAATAAATAATTTTAAAAAACTGTATCATACTGGACATACGTCATTTACTGATATTTTATATTTTCTTTCTTTTACCTAATGCTTTTCTCCAGTTGCTGTTTTTTAACTTCGTCTACCTTACAGAGAATGTTTCAGAGTTGCACAGAATTTGCTTGAATGTGTTGTCTGTTCATACTGGCTAAATTGAAACTTCTTGACATTTAAGCCCAGCATGTTTCCAGTGACTCAAGGCTGGAAAGATTAGAGTCAGCAACCAGTTTAGCTGAGGAAAGATCTAGGACCAGAAGTTAGAAGACCTGACCTTTGACTGAAGACAAGAAATGTGTGCTTATGATGAACCAGGCAGGCCTGGCTCTGTGCTGGGCTCTTCTCCCTCCAGCAGGGAAACTGAGTGGCCTTGGCTGTTTCTCTGAGATATTTTCTTGCTGTACAATGTGATACCATGGATGGGCTTAGCAGCACGGTCCTCCCAGGCTGTCCATCCTGTATCTCTGGGCTTACCATTTCCTCTAAGTTGATTCAGCTGGCCCTCCAATTTCCTCTTTTTAAACTTTTTTTTTTGTGGTAAATACATGTAGCATAAAATTATTTCCCATCTAACAATTTGTAGGTCTATAGCTCAGTGGCAGTAAGTGGTGCAGCCATCTTCTCCATCCATCTCCAGAACCCTTTCATCTTCCCAAACTAAACCTGCATCCCTATTAAACACAAGACCCAGAGGTTTGGGAGAAGAGGCACAGTATTGTAGAATCCTCTAGAAAACCTTTCTAAATGCCCATACCACCTGCCTTATGATGGGGCTTTCTTCATGGCCTTTTCTCCCTTTTCAAGTCTGCTTTAGTCTCCATCTTCAAATGTAGTTCTGAATTCTCACATAGGTGCCTTTCCCTTGGGCTACTTTGAAACCCCTTTGCTGCTTTTGGCCCAGGACTGTCTGGGGTCTCTGCTCCCTTCCAAGAAATACCTGGATGCTAACCACCCTGACTGGCATAGCTCCTCCGCTCTGCTCCATGTGATCACCAGTGCCTTGTCATTAGTCCATGGAAACTACAGGTTATGTATGTTTATGTATGGACAGAAATTTAACCTTGGATGTGGGACTCATGGACAAGGCCTGGGACAAGATAATAGATCCCTTAGATATCTAGATAAGTTACTTTATCTAAGTAGCTGGTACTTCCTGCTCCCCAGCTGATAGGACGTCAGGAAGGCTGGCAGAGGATGAGGCTGGTAGATGGATGGGAAGATAGGAGGAATCTGGTCTCTCAGAGAGCTGTCACAGCCGTCAGCCTTAAGAAGGGGACTCTGGTCAGTAACCTCAGCTTCCTAATCATGAGTGGCTCCAGGGAAAGGTCTTCCCTGCCTTGCACCCTCTGGAAAGCCTGACCTTATGTTGTTTGGATTCTCGTCTTGTGTGTAGCTCCAGTTAGGCAGGATCCACCTGGATGTTGTGCTGCTCTCTCTTTTGAGACAGTGCTCACACTCTCCTGTATTACTGTGGAAGCATTCCTTCCCTCCTTGGTCCAGCCCAGTCCAGCTCAGGGCCTGAGGGGAGCTGCAGGTATTTTATTTTGTTTTGCTTTTTCATAATAGCTTTATTGAGGCATAATTCACATATTGCATCATACACCTCTTTTAAAGTGTACAGTTGAGTGACTTGGTAATATTTGTGAAGTTATGCAACCATCACCATGGTCAGTTCTCAGTTGTTTATTTCCTCAAAAAGAAAGCCCATAATCATGAGCAGTTGCTTCTACCCTCCAGCCCAGCCTCAGGCACATTCCAGTAATTAGATTCTATAGATTTTACCCTCTGGACATTTCTTATCAATGGGATTATGTCATGTAGCCTTTTGTGACTGCCTGTTCATGTTCTGGGGGGTTGTCCATGTTGTCGCATGGATCCCAAATTCATTTTTTATTGTGACAGTAGTATTCCTCTGTATGACTAGGCCATCTTTAATGGACATTTGGGTTACTTGCACTTCAGGGCTATTGTGAATAGTACTGCTATGAACATTGGTATACAAGTTTTCATGTGGGGAACTATGGGGTTTTCCTGAAGCAGATGACTGGGCCCCCAGGGAGCATTACATATAACATTGTAGGAAATTTTTTTCTTCTTCTTTTCCTTCTAGTCAGAATTCCTACAAGAATCCAATCTGATCATGGCCAAGTTGAATTATGTGGAAGGAGATTATAAGGAAGCGCTGAACATTTATGCCCGGGTGGGCCTTGATGACTTACCACTGACAGCCGTCCCTCCCTATAGGCTGCGGATGATTGCAGAAGCCTATGCTACCAAAGGTGAGGCCTTTGTGCTTTTCCCTCGGCCCCCTGTTTGACCCCTGTGCACTTGGCTGATGATTAACTTGGCCATTCCTAACAAGGCCCCCAGGTCCGGCCCACCACACATTCCGAGTCATGTTAAGCCCAACAGCACATTGTTTGCTCCATCAGTTCTCATTGAAAGGAATGGAGGGAAGGTGTTTGGGTGAAGTTTCTTGAAAATCATTGTGCAATCTCCCCAGCGATTTTTCTTGGTAGTTAAATTACTGCACAGCAAAAGCAGCAAGTCACTTCATATGGTCATTTGGCCACATGACCAACCATGTTTCTAGTCATTGGTGCCACCTCTGGACTAATTAAGGCCAGTTGATTAATCCATAGTTGTCCCTGTAACAATTTTCTCAAGGGTCCTCATTCTAGTGATGAAGAAAATGTAGCTATCTCTCTACTGTGAAGGAGCTTACAATGTAGTGAGAGGATGCAGTCCTGTGGGGAGGAAAGGATGGGAAGACAGCATGCTTACAATTTGACCCATGTTATCACCAAGCTGCCAGTCCCTCCTCTGTCATATCCATGCCAAACAGTTAATGAGGAGGGAGCCTCATAATGTATGGAAAGCACTTAATATGGTACCTGGTACTGACCCAGTGCTCAGTAAATGATGTTTTAAAATGGCATGCCAGACAAACAGCAAATGGGAAAAGTTAAGGACAGCTGCACCTTTCAGAGGCTGGATAAGCTTATATGGGCTAGCAGGTCCAGGTAGGCTCTCAGAAGGAGGGACTCTTGGAACTAGACCTCCCAAGGCCATGGCATTCAGAAGTGGGCAGTGTAAAGCAACTCCTTTGCTTTGTGTTGCCTGCCACCCCAGGCACATTGTTACTGACTATGGCTAGCACAGGGACAGTAAGCTGGCCACCTGCATCCTGTTGAGGTGTACGACTGCACATGGTCCAGCCTGGCTGACTCAGTGGTCCTAAGAAACACTGAACAAAGCCTTGGTCTAAGGCTTACTTCCTGAGCTTGTGACAAGCTTGATGTACCCATCTAGCTCCTTGGGGAGCTTCCAGTACTTCAGGGTTCATCTAGTTATTCAAACGTCCCTGTGGACTGGGAAAAGATGCCATTGCTCTTGACAGGGGCAGTTTAATGGACATAGCCCTTTGATGCTGTCCCCAGGGTCCTGAGAGCATCTGTCTTTGTGTGAATCTATCTAAGATGTGAGGAGCCCTAGGTGCTGAGCCACAGCTGCCTTCTCTAGTGCTCTCAGCCTTCCCGTGGACCATAGCCTGCTGGAGCTAACTGTGTATGCATGCATGCATGTACATGCATGAAGTATTCCTTCAGGCCAGGAACAGTACTATGGAATGAGAGCAAAACTTCATCTGGCAATTTCCAGTCATCTGGTCAATCTGGGGCCTGGTGGGCTGTAGCCAGGAATTGGTTTGTTGGTTTGTTGGTTGGGGATAGGAGGTCACTCAGGGCCTCCTTAGCACAAGAGCTCAGGTCTCAAGATGGAAAAGTAGGGGCTGGCATCTTCAGCTGGTGCTGCTAGCTCAACCTTTTGGTCCCCAAGTCTGGCCCTGAGTAATAAATAATAATGGTTAGTAGTGGGCCCTGAGCTACAAGTTTGACACTTTGTTTTCATTCTAATTCATTAAGTGGTTTACTAGGAATGTGACTCTACTTTCTGATTTTGGTGGGCATGCGCAGACTCACATGCACAGAGTGAATGGCAAAGTGCCTAGAGGAGGTGGTACCAGCCTTCAAGGACCTAGGCCCGGAGTGCCTAGTGGGCTGGTTGAGGCCATGTAGTGGTGGGTATAAGTACCAACTCAGAGCCATTTGCCTGGGTGTGCTGCTTGGTGCCACATGCTGCCTGTGTCTGTATGCAAGTTTAAAAAAAATTTTTTTATGTGTATGAGTGTTATTCCTGCATGTGTGTAACTGCACTTATGTCATGCAGTGCCTGTGGAAGACAGAAGGGGGCATTGGATCCCCTGGAACTAGAGTTATGGATGGTTGTTAGCCATCATGTGGGTGCTGGGATTCAAACCCGGGTCTTCTGCAAGAGCAGCCAGCACTCTTAACCACTGAACCATCTCTCCAGCCCCCTATATGCAAGTTTTATACCTCTTGTACATCAGTGTCCCCATTTGTCAAGGTCTTTGGAATATAAGGATTACATTATATATAAAAGGGCTGTCTGACATACAATGTTATATAAGCAGTCTCTTAAAAACATTGGTGGTTAAGCCTGGTGGTGCATACCTTTAATCCAAGCATTCTGGAGGCAAAAGTAGGTGGATTTCTGTGTGATAGAGGCCAACCTAAACTTGGTGAGTTCCAGGCCAGTTGGGTCCACAGGGAGACCCTGTCTCAAAAAACAAAGTCTTGATGGAGAGTCAGAGTCAGGAGGGGGACTGGAGATGACAAGGTAACAGTCACAGAGAACTTTCTATCCTAATTCATGAAGATGCCCGAAGTCAAATCAGTTCCCTAGGGAGATTGAGAGGCTTGATCCTAGCTCTTTTTCTTCACCAAGATCCTAGAGATTTTTCAAGAGATGTACTGCTGGGCAGTCATGGATTCAGTGTACAAAGTACCCTCAAATCAGAAATGCCTTGCTGGCCTTTGTCCAGTTTATTTTGTTGGCTTTAGAGATAATTACTACTATCTCAAAATCAGAACCACTTAAATATTCACTGACTCCTTTGGAAAGAAAAGAACTGTCCATTCATCCCCCAGGGCAAGACCGGGCTGTAGTTAAGTGACAGGTGCCCCTTGGGTAGGCATAACTCCAATTTTTGCTCTTCCCCTGTGCTACCTGCACACTGCTGTAGGCAGTAGAATTCATCTGCATACTTTCTAGAGTCACTCAAGCATTCCCGTGTTGACATGAGGGCTGACCTGATTAGGGTTTTCCAGAGACTAGAAATACCAATGGGGGAAGCGCTCCAGGGAATGTTAGCCTTTGCTCATTGAGAATCAGAAGCCAGGGTCAGTTCCCAAGAACTTTCTATGGACTATAAACTCCAAATTTAGAGACAAGAGGAGATTGGGTGAGACTTCTAGGACTGGTATCTGTGGCCAAGGAATACTGAGATTCTTCTGTGCCCTTTATTTGGGCATCTCATCCTACCTTCATGATACCCTATGAGACAGAGCATTGTTCTTTCCATTTTATAGAAGAAGAACTTCCCTGGGTACAGGGAAGTTGGATAACTTGTCCAGGGTTCAGAGAAGAGGTTGAACCAAGACCTGACCTCAGAGATGAGTTCCTCTGAGAGATAAGGAGAATTCAAGCTGATCAGTGTTGAGCTGCAGAGCTGTGCTCTTTCTCTTTCTTTCTTTCTTTCTTTCTTTCTTTCTTTCTTTCTTTCTTTCTTTCTTTCAGACATTTATTTAAAGTAAGATATCTGCAGAGCAAGTAATTTGATTCATCCTGAATCAAAATTACACAAAAATACTGAGAACAGGTACAACCAGAGGTCAACTACATGGTTACTTCTTTGCCCATTCTTCTCTCTCTTTTCTTTCCTGAATAACCTCTTTCAGATATGGTTCAAGGTAGAATTTATCCTCATATCTTGTCCACTGTTCCTTGGGCAAAATCTGATGCCTCATGGTCAGGTCCAGAGCTCACTTAATGTGAAACATTGTCATAAAGGTTCTCCTTACAGCTTCTTTCACCTCTTCATCCTCGTTTAGTGTATCATCTCCCATTAACCCCAGTTTGTTGAATCCTACAGCATTGTAATACCATTTTTGAATACCATTCAGCCAGCAGCTTGACACTGTAACAGCAGGCCTGCCCGCCATATTGACCCGAGGGACACATTTTCCCCAACAAATGTTCCATCTTTTACCTATTTGCATTTTCACCTAGTGATTAATGATGTTAAGCACATTTTCATATACATGTTTGCAATTTTTATTTTTATTTTTTATATATTTTATTCATTATTTTATTTTATGTGTATAAGTGTATAGCCTGCATGTATGTAAGTGCACCCATGTCGTGCAGTGCCCACAGATGTCAGAAAGAGGACGTTGGATTCCGTGGAACTGGAGTTATAGATGGCCATCAGTTACCATATGGGTGCTAGGATCTCAACCTAGGTCCTCTGCAAAAGCAGTCAGTGCTCTTAACCACTGAGCCATCTCACCAGCCCCCAGAGCTTTGGTCTTAATTGCTCTGGCATGTGGACTGAATCTCACTTGGCTAGGCGGTTTTCCTCAGGAAGAAGCACCCTAGGTTTCTGGAAGATAACTTGGTTTTGTGCTTGCCTGCCTTCTCAGCCCCATCTCCCAGGTCCTCTGCTTTAACTCCTTACCCTTGCTTAGGATATTTTCTCTCTCTCTCTCTCATCTCTGATTATGTATATACAATGTATGTAAATATGTAAATACATATTAGATGTCTTCCTCAATTACACTCTACTTTAGTTTTTGAGACAGGATCTCTCCATGAACCTAGAACTCACCGATTTGACTGTACTGGCTGGTCTGCAACCCTCCTGAATCCTGTCTTCAGCTCCCAGTGCTGGAATTACAGGCACATACCTAGGATGGGAATGAAAGAAGTAGAGAGACTCTTTAGCTTCTGGAATATTGGGTTAATCAAGTGAGTGGACGATTTGGCTGTAGGATAGAGACTGAGGGAATCACCAGTATAGTGAGTAGCCATAGGTGCCTCCTCAGGGTGGCAAATGACTACTGTGTACTGGTACATCTGCTGGACACAGGGTAACTTTCTGTAGCTCGAATGCTGGGAGCTGGACATGGTATGACTTCCTAGAGATGGGCTTTCTTAATAGCCACAGTGAACCGTGCCATGATGAAAGGACTAAATACCCATCAGCTTCAGTGAGCCAGCCACCTGGTCAAAGCTAGTGGGACAGCTCTGCTCCCTAAGTCACTGTACCTGTACTGCCCCTAAGGGTGCAGCCCTTATCTGCCTGATTGAAGTTGGGTTGTGCAGAGCTTTGTCTAACCTAAATGAAACTGTTAGTGGG